CCCCAATCGTCGCAAAGCAAGTGTGGCGATTGGGGCAGCTCCGTATAGCGATCCCCAAAAAGGGATCGCTATACGGATTCTTCGTTATACAGTGCGCTCGTTAAGCGAGGCACCACTGTGTGTGTGTGTGTGTATATATGTATATATGTATATATATATATATATATATTCTCCCACTTTAGGATTTAAATATCTCCACCCATCAATTAAACCTTATCTCTCTATTAGCTTCCTAATTTTATTACCATCATTTGATACCTTTCTATTTTTTGATGCTGCATCGATTTCGTTTAAAATTCAATTTGTGTCTCCGCCTAGGATAATTTCTCCCCAGGCAAATTCTTTTACCTTTCTTAAAAAGTTCTGCATAAAATTTGCTTGACCTGTGTTGGGGGCATAATAAGAACCAATAGTTAATAATTTGTCTTCCAATTTTCCTTTTATTGTTATATATCTGCCTTCAGGGTCTCCCATATAATCAATCACTTCAAATTTTGAATTCTTCATAAAGATTATTGCCACCCCTCTAGCCTTATTTGTTCCATTTGGAGATCCTTTTGCTGTCCTCTGAAGATACCGGCCACAGAGACTGGCGAAACGTTAGGAAGAACCACCTTCGGAACACGGCCAAGAAGCCCGACAACCACGATTTGGAGATTATCTAACATTACAGTCAACATTCTATAAACTATCTTTATAGATATATTCTTTCTCAGTATTTGTCCAATAGATTTTATATATGTTATGGTGTCGAGTCTATAATCATATTTTACTAAGTAAGATTGTCTAATTCCTTCTAGTTTTCTTTTCAGTGTCACCCAATTTACCATACCCAGTACCCTCAACACCCTTTCCCTACTCCCTCACCTTCACCCTGTTCCAGCAATGGTCAGTGAGAACAGGTCTCCAGCTCATGTTTGAGCTGTGCCCTGTGGATTTACAGGGAGCCAGAAAACTTAACATTTCCTGTATAAGATCAGTTTTTTCCCCATGCCCACTCTGACCCTCTTAATCTATCAGTATACTAATATAACAAATGGCAAATTATCTATGTTTGTTTGTAAATATTGTATCTCTTACTTACCCTTACATTAAGGTGTTCTAAACATATATTCTAAACATTCTTAAATATAGGTGCTTCTTTTCTAAGATTCTAGAGTTCCTTTCTATCATATATATTTATCTTAAATAGTATTTTATATTATTTTACTATTGTATAAGCGTAAACTGTAACAATACAATATACTAACTTCTATGTTTTTAAATGAGTTATTGAAGTTTAATGAATAGCTAGAAGTCTATATATATAAGAGCCCTTCCAGTTTTTACTTTTACTTTGGCTCAAATTCATTTCACTGGAAATGTTCAGCAGCTCTTAATGATTTACAGGATTGTTTTAATGTGTTAGTTAATTCTTAAGAGTAGTAGAGTTTCTAGGACTATAAACTCTTAGGAGCTTAGAGCAGTAGACACAAGCCTTTAATGTTTGAAAAAACTGAGCTCAGAAGTAGAGCACATGCTTTGCATATAGAAGATCCCAGGTTAAATTCTCAGCATTTCCAGATACGGCTACAGAAGACCATTGGGTAGTCAGTGGCAGTCAAGGCAGATTATATGAATCTAGATTGGAATTGATAATCTCAGTGGGGCCAAGGGCCATTTTATAGCAGCCTAAATATCATACTCCCCAGCAGGTGGCACCAATGTTCATCACTTGCAAATTTTTAATTTTAAAAAATACAGTGTTATGTACTATAAATGTTGATACAATGAGTTTTTGTTAAGTGAACATGGGTTTATCAAAACAACAACCCAAGTGTTTAGCTGGAAATGTCCCTTGGTGTCCTCTAAAAATTAAAACAATTTTTGGTGATATGGGGGATTCCCTAGAGCATTATGAGCCTATCAAAATATGACAGAATTCCTCTCCACACACCCTAAAGGAAATAATAGATTTGGGGAGTAAAATTGTTTCTTTTTTCTTTTTAAAAATGGGGTGTGTGGGATGCTAGGGGGGCTGCATGCACCAATGAACCACTTGAACACTTTTGGTCTAGATCGGGGTAAGAGGCAACCTCTGATATTCCTTTGTAAAATCTGTATCCTTCAATGCAATCAGTAACTAAGCTTGTATTTTAGACTGTCCTCAACTGTCTATTTTTAATGCTCCAAAGTTTTGTATCATATTTTAGAATTATTCAAGGAAGAATATTTATAACTTCAAAACACTGATATATAATCTTAAAACACAAGCGGCTGTCCTGGTCAATAAGGAATTTCTTAAGCATGGATACAAAAATGCTGTACTGTATTGCCATCTCTACAGTAGAACTGAATGACAGTCATGAGTAGTCAGATAACTCTGGAAATTAATCAAGACTTTTAAGGAGTAATGGCTCTCTTTAAAGCATTGCATACTTAGGACTCAGGCCTCTTCCTTTATCAACCTGCCTATCCACTGTTAACTTCAGAGGTTTTCATCCATGTTGCTGGCAGTAACCACAGTAAAAAATATTCACAGAGTCCCAGTTTACATGATTCCCTTCAAGGAAATCCACCAGCACCAACACTGTAAACCATATGCGAAAGGGGTAAAAACATTTTTTATTGAATAAAATAAATTATATTGTTTCTGGTATGGGAATCATGGCTGCAAGGAGAATAGAAATGTTGTTACCTGCTAAACAGTGATCCCTGAGATTGTATCAGCTCTTACGTTGATGTGAACATTTTCTATATGTAACCAAAGATAATGGGAATGGAAAAAAAAACTGGCTGCATCAGGACAGATGACTGACAAAACCAGTTGATTCCTCCTCTAACTAGAAATTCCATAGAAAATTATAATATATAAATAAATCAAAAGAAACAACCTCTCTGTTATGAATAACCACCTAATTAATTTGCACAATGACTGAAAAGAGTAAAAAAGAGGGAGAGAAAGAGTTGAGGCATGAACAAATTTCTCTTCACTCATTCATCTCCCAACTCTTTGTTTTTCCATAGTATAAATCATGTTTCAGGCATGCGCTCAAAAAAGTACAGTGCAGTCCAAAAGCCAATCCAGTTCTATCCCAATTTCTGTACAGTATTTCCCTGCAAAGGAATACCACAGCGAGAATTCTCTTGAACTAAAGAAATACTCTTGATCCTGCCCTGATCCAGTGGTGCCCACAAATAAAATGGGGAAAACAGACAGGCAAATACCACAGATGCAACATTGTTCCATCAATAATATTATAAAAAGATGCGACGATGAATGTAATTAATGATCCAGTAATTAGTGATTTATCACACATATTTTAAGAAGGGGAAAAATTGCATAAGATTAAAGGCTGTTTTTTTAGATTACTTGACCAGTATTTACAATTTATATCACACTGTATGTGAATTATTATGCTATAATACTCAAAAGCCTCAGTTCTGATTAACAATGAGATGTCCCAGAGCTTGTATTCTCTCTAAACTTTGTCCTTGTGGATTCCTCAGTGATAAGACACCTGCTTTTCAGACATTCCCAAGATGTCCCTCTGACAACTGCAGCCATGTTGGAAGATTCTATAGGTATAGTACTGTATTCTCATCAACTGATATTAGCCAAACATTGATACTGTGTGCGGAACATGGGATGCCAAGCGGATGTTGGCCATCAGAACTTCCCAGTTTTCCTCACACATTAATAAAATCTGCTGAAGCAAGTGATTATTGCAAATTTTATAGAAACACTATGATTTAGCTAAGATAATTCAAAGGCTACCTGACAGAAACAGAACATAAAAGGCAGATCTCTTGCTGATTTAATTTTAGACAAAAGAAATAGCAACCATGTGAAATATTTTAAGAGAAAAATAATAAAGAAAGGAAAAGAAAACAATCAATGAAGAGACTTTGATGGCATACATTTAAAGAGATTAACAATTCCACACATGGAACCATGGAAGGGTGGGGGTGGAGTGGCCTGTCTTGGTTGGGATGAACTACATACCTCTTTTGCCTGGGGTTATCCATGATTTTGAAAGAGTGGTAGAACAAAGAGGGGGGAAATTAAGTTGTTAAAACATTTCTATCAATTGTACAAAATTTACAAACTTTTCAATGGTGTCAGTTTACTTTCAGTATTAATTTTTGAAATGAGTTATATTTAGGATATTTTTGAAATATTTTCCAGAATTATACTCTATTTAAATTAATAATAAAATACCAAATATTATTCCTCTTCATTTTTTTTACTTGCAGAAGGAAAAATGTAATAAAATTGCACTTTAATATTAAAAATAAGAGGGCAGTTAGTTCTCCAGTCATTATTCTGTTACTGAAATTTCCTGGGGTTCCTTTTGTTTTTAAAAAGTTTTACTTTCATGGACTCTCTCAGAAATTAAGCTATACATTTCATTAAGTAATATTTAATGCACAACACAGTGATGATACTAGTGCACAATAATGCCTCTTGGGAATTCATTTCAAATTACCGAAGCAGCTGTTTCTTCATTATAAAATAAAATATCTGTAACAAGTTCACACATGACAGATGTAAGCTAAAGTCTAGAATCGACAATGTGAGATAAAAGCAGATGTTCTGAATGATCATATTTATAGACACTGCATCTTAGTTTATCATTTTGTATGCTTCCCTGAAAAAAAGAATTATAAAGCTTTTTATTTTAAAAATATGAACTTCCTTCCAAGTAGTCTGGCAAATCTTTCAGAATTGATAAAACTTTTAAAATGCTAATAACAATATTGATGCATACGTGTAAAAATCTATTTGCCTCTTTTGTACAAGAAAGGAAATATTTATTTATTGTAAAACCCGCTGCATTACATGTCTTCAGGGGAAGTTGCTTAAGAATGTCTCCTGCATGATACTCTTCAAAACAAACAAGATTTGTGTGTGAGCAGAATATGTGTCCACTCATTTAACAGCGATTCCAAAAGGCTGCCAAGTGGATTTGACTGCTTTTTTAAAATAAAAGACATAGATCAAACACCTAGTGCATTAAACAATATTAACCATTGTTCCCCTTTTCAGTTATACATCTATCAAATATAAGGCACTTCTATTCCCTTTTGCTGCTTAGCATTTTTAAACACTGATGCAAAGTTGGAAGGAGCATTTGAACCGCATTGTTCATGTGACTTCAAGCATCTCTTACATTTCTTTCCATTTTATCTGATGTTTTTATTTAATTTTATTTTTTTCCACCAGATGCTTATTCTAGGGAAACTCTAAGTCAAGATTTATTTCACTTCACTTTTCATAACCTTCAAAACTATTATGGCTCTGTAAATGTGAATTGCCTTTAACATATGTCAGAGGCTTTAGTGGTAATGTTTCTTGACAGAATTGCTTCACACCGAGGCTGTACAGGGTGGCTATCAAGCATTATTGTACAGCTAATGCCGTTATCCTCACCTCTGAATGGTGCTCCTCATTCTGCTGCAGGACTTCAATGCAGAGTTCTGCTAAATGAATAACCTCTTCCAGCTTTACAGATAGAGAAGCTTGATTCAACGTCTCTGTGGTGGGAAGGAATACACAAACCAGGATGATTGCAGCTAGGAAATGTGGGAATGAAAAATGTTGCAAAGAACTAAAACACAAAACTATACTGTACATATATTTCAAAAGACTGACATCATCTGGTATTTCTGTAATCACTGGTGATTTAAGTGCAAGTAAAGGTCCTGTTATTCTGACTGGATTGCACACATGCATAAAATATTTTCCTCACCATGAAACCATGGGGTTTCCTACAGCCCATCCTTCATTTCTTTATTTTTATATCATGCCTTTTTCTAGAATCAGCTCAAGGTAATGCATGGCTCTACTCCTCACTTTATCTTCACAAATTCTAAGGTCACCCAGCAAGTTATATGTCATTGGAGACTTAAACTTCATTTCTCAAGTCCTAGCATGATGCTCTAACCACTACACAATGGTGGCTCACTTAGGATAACTAGCAACTGCATCTGCAATGGTAAATCAGATGCTCAACTTCTGCAAAAAGCAAGTTCTCATCTTCTCCAAGGTCAGTTGTGCACAGAAAGCATTGCCGAGTGGTTTGTTTTCTTCTCTATCACACTTTGTCTACAGTGTTATTCATAGCGGATGAATCATTGTGTTCAGTAAGCACAATTCATGCTTTTCAGACAGCTCTATCCTAAGTGTGCACAATCTGAAAAAAAAAGATTAGATTTAAATGGATCTAAAAGATGGAAATAGAAAATGGCACTAGACAATTAACCGACCCGTCTAACCCCTTATATACCTCATACAACTAGATAGTTATTTGAAGCCAAAGGTCCATATGCTGAAACAGTAAAAAGGGAGGCAGAAAATGACAAGCTACAAAATAAAAAAGTGAATCTTAAAAGCAAAACAAGTTCAGCTTTAAAGACGTAAGCTATGTTAGCTGGATAAAGCAAATCCAAGAATATAGGAGAAAGCACAGCAATATTGTTAAGCTCTTATTCTTCTAATACAAAAATAGACTTCCATTTTCTCTATTCTTCTTTATTAGAAAACATTATGAAGTTTAATATAGATTAAACGTTATTTGAGAGGGATGTTTCTAAGTATGTTCAAATATTAGCAATCTTCATAGGTGTATTTATAGTACAGGGAAGTCTGTATCCATGTAACAGTTATAATGCATGTACCATTATTTGCATGTACTGGAATATACACAGATTTTTAAAAGTGGGTCTTGGGATGATATCTCTATATCCTTTTGCCAACTGAAAGGCATTCTTTCCCATGGAAGAACATGTGTCCAAATACTGGAATTCTTACATTGCTACTGAAAATAAAGATTTCTGGGAGCTGGAATAAATGGGAGTAGGTTATTTTCATTAAATGTAATATAAGTTTTGTTGCTATCCCAGTTTACACAGAAATAAGTCCTAGTGTATGCGGCAAAACTTACATAGAATTGGACTTTCTGAAAGATTTATGAATTCTTCTCATTTTTGCTGAAGTGTTGCTTTCAACTTATGGTGACCCTACAAATTAGTGATTTCTAAATGATCCTATCATTAATGACCATGCTCAGATTTTGCAAGCTGAAGGCCATGGCTTGCTTGCTTCTTTTTATGCTGCCTTTCTCTCAGTGAAGGAACCAAAGGAGACTAGTAAGTTATAAAAAACTAACCAGGTAAATACACAAGTTATTTCATTAAAAACAATTAAACATATAAGGCTTGCTTCTTTTTATGCTGCCTTTCTCCCAGTGAAGGAACCGAAGGAGACTAGCAAGTTATTAAAAAACTAACCAGGTAAATACACAATAAGTTATTTGATTAAAAACAAACATATAATACACTTCTCCCTTGCCTTGCATGGGTCTAAGCAGCAGTTTTAGTTATACACTCTTCTCCCTTGCTTTGTATGGGTCTAAGCAGCAGTTTTAGTTATACACGGATTTTCTTTCCAACAAACAAATAAACAAATATTCAATAAATATTGTGTCCCTGGCCATCCAGAACCATGGGCATCAGTTTAACACTGAAGTTGCCTACAAAGAATTTTAAGGTTCTTTACATATGAAACTGTATGGAAAGGATTCTCAATGCTATGGAAAAGAACTCGGATAGAGAGAAGTGTTCTGTATCTGTATGTGTGTTAGTGTGTATGAATCAATTGTTTATCCTTTGTTGCATTGGTCTAGTTGCCTACAAAGAATTTTAAGGTTCTTTACATATGAAACTGTATGGAAAGGATTCTCAATGCTATGGAAAAGAACTCGGATAGAGAGAAGTGTTCTGTATCAGTATGTGTGTTAGTGTGTATGAATCAATTGTTTATCCTTTGTTTGTGTTATGTTTTGGGAGGCATCAGATTTGTACACATACTTTGAATTATATGGGGTCTGGCACTCTCAACCTTAGAATTGTTGAAGGAAGAAGTGTATTATTAAAATAGTTAGTTTAAAGCAGTTAGAAACACCTTCAAATACAGTGGACCCTCGACTTACAGACGGCTCGACTTACAGACTTCTCGAGTTACAGACTTCTCTGGATGCCAGTTTAAAGCCGTTAGAAACACCTTCAAATACACATACTGTACAACCACCACCAACAATAATGTGCAGAATCCTAAAATCAAAAATTCTTGCTTGCTGGGTTCAATTATTAAAAGCCTACACAAAGAGGAAGGTCTTCACCCATCTCTTGAAAGACAGGAAGGAGGGGACTAACCCTACCCTGATAGGAAGAGCATTTCATAAGTTTTCCTTAGCTTTCTTCTCTCAGGGCCAAACTCCATGTTACTTTAAATACATAGCCAGTAGTGACACTTTTTTTTACTGCATCACAATGGTCTCAAATCAGGATTATCCTTGTACAACAACCACCACCACCAATAATGTACAGAATCCTAAAATCAAAAACTGTTGCTTGCTGGGTTCAATTATTAAAAGCCTACACAAAGAGGAAGGTCTTCACCCATCTCTTGAAAGACAGGAAGGAGGGGACTAACCCTACCCTGATAGGAAGAGCATTTCATAAGTTTTCCTTAGCTTTCTTCTCTCAGGGCCAAACTCCATGTTACTTTAAATACATAGCCAGTAGTGACACTTTTTTTTACTGCATCACAATGGTCTCAAATCAGGATTATCCTCATAGATTCAATTTGCATTGTGCCCCCCCCCAAAAGGCTAAAAAAAGGTCTACCGACAGAAAGGCTTCTTTTGTGGCAACCCAAATAAGCACATATGGGGCCTGCATCGGGGAGCAAAAACCTAAACCTGGGCTGGGGACTACAAACTCTTTTTGAGTAAGCAGAGGTAAATCTTATTAACTCAGATTGTGCTTCTAGACCATGCTATAGTTATTTCAAGAGAACTGACCTGATGGCCAGTATGCTTCCAGACTGAGTTGTAGGTCATTCACTTTCAATCAATCAAAATCATAAATATGTTGGGGGCTTTATTTAGAGGAAGCTCTTCTCCTTATATATCTATATTATCCATCAATGGGCTCTTCTATTCCTATCCCTGGGAACAATTCACCATGTGAGGATGCAGGAGAGAGGGTTCTTGGCTTCAGTGCTCCAATTGTGGAATGCCCTCCTACTGGAGACCCAACGGGCACTCTGGTGCTCTGTTTGCATCACATTAAAATCTAGATGTTAGAAACTGGACCTTGGTGATGAACACTCTGTTTTGGGCTTAATGGACAGCAGGTAGATTTTGATTTTGTTGACTTCCTTTATTTAGAAGAAGCTCTTCTCCTTATATATCTACGTATATTATCCAGCAATGGGATCTTCTATTCCCATCCCTGGGAACAACACACCATGTGAGGATGCAGGAGAGAGGGTTCTTGGCTTCAGTGCTCCAATTGTGGAATGCCCTCCTACTGGAGACCCAACGGGCACTCTGGTGCTCTGTTTGCATCACATTAAAATCTAGATGTTAGAAACTGGACCTTGGTGATGAACACTCTGTTTTGGGCTTAATGGACAGCAGGTAGATTTTGATTTTGTTGACTTATTTTAAATTGTTTTAAGTTGAGGAATTTATTCTTTTTTCCCCAGAACAAAAACAAATACAAAAATACTTGCTATACAATCTAAAGTACCATGCACCTGATACCCATGGGACCCCTTAGAATAATACTTTTAATACAAACTTCCTTTCCAAAAGTGTATTGATTGCTGTTTAGAGGCTTTCCCCTTTCCTTTCACTAATACAAATTCAACAAATCTACCCCAAATAGCATAAAAATATTTGAAATTATTTACCCTCTTTTCATCTTAAGTTCAGTAGTTAATTTATCATTTAATGCAATGTCCCATACTTCATTATACCATCTTCTAATTTAATGTCATTTTTGTCTTTCCAGAATCTAGCTATTAATATTCTAGCACTTGTCATTCAATTGGAAATCAATTCCTTCAAACAGTAATCAAGTTCTGTCTTATCAAAATTTGACAACAAAGCAATTTTAGAGTTAAATTCAATATCTTTTCCAAATATATCACATATTTCCTTCAAAATCAGTTTCCGAAATTTCTGAATCACATTTCCCGAACACTAATCAAGTTCTCTTATCAAAAATTGACAACAAAGCAATTTTAGAGTTAAATTCAATATCTTTTCCAAATATATCACATATTTCCTTCAAAATCAGTTTCCGAAATTTCTGAATCACATTTCCAACAACCTTTAGAATAATTTGAATTTATTATATTCAATTTCATTGAAGTCATATACCACCTTAAATGATTTTAATTTTTCCCCCTTCATTCTTACCAACATTAACCTTCAAACTCTCATCCTCCAAATTTTTATCCACTCCTCTGTTTTAATTTCTGTCTTTAAATCATTTTCCCAAATTAATTTCAAACCTTCTGTTTCTGTCTCTTTTTCCTCTTCTTCCGAAATTAGATTATATATTCTACTTACTACTCTCTTCATCAAATCACCTTTCTGCATGTCTTCATGTGGTGATAGAAATTGTTCTTACTTAGTACATTCTCTACATTTCCCATCAGTTTTCAGCCATTCATTTGTCCA